TATCTAGACAGACAGGGATGGTGTAGATAAAGGAATTGAGAACTGAATAAGTGGGAAGAAAATAAAACGTAGAATAAAAAAAAAAAAATTGTGCGCCGCATGCTACCCCAGCGCACGATTTCACCAGGGATCGAAAGATGGGAGTATGGTGTGGTAGAACTGAGGGCATTCCTATATGTTAACCAGAAGAGAGAAATTTACAAATGAAAGAAGAGGGTAAGGGGACAGAAAAAGAAAGGAAGAAAAAAAAAGTGTACCTGGCTGAAAGAGGGGTGTCTAGTTGGGGGTCCTGGGGCTGAAGCTATGGGGGGCAGTCCTCACTCAAAGTTCCTGGCCCCGGGGTCAAAAGATGGGAGTGTGCTGTGGTAGGACTGAGGAGGTTCCTATATGTTAACCAGAAGAGAGAAATTTACAAATGAAAGACTAGGGTAAAGGGTAAGAAAAAGAAAGGAAGAAAAAAAAATTGTACCTGGCTGAAAGAGGGGTGTCTGGCTTGGGCTTCCTGGGGCTGTAGGTACAGGGGGCAGTCCTACCTCGAAGTTCCTGGCCCAGGGGTCAAAATAACTGAAAGAGGGGTGTCTGGCTTTGTGGTCCCAGGGCTGAAGCTACCGGGGGGAGAGGGGCGGAGGGGCAGTCCTCCCTCGAAGTTTCTAGTCCAGGGGTCAAAAAATGGAAGAAATGCTAAGGAAGAATACGATGTAACTATTAGAGGTGAAGTCTGTAACACAGGAAATCAAAAACTCTCTCGAAAGTATTAAAAGTCGATTAGACCATGCTAAAGGTCAAATCTCTGATGTAGAAGATAAAAATTCTGACCTAGAGGAAACCACCAAAAAGATAGAGAAAATAACAAAAAAAACATGAAGATAACATACGAGAATTACTAGATTCCATTAGACGTCCTAACATCCAAATAATTGGTTTCCCTGAAGATGAAGAAACTATTAAGAGCATGGAAAACCTATTCCATAAAATCTTGGAAAAAAATTTCCCAAGCATAGAGAGGCACTTAAACATCCAGACCCACAAAGAACACCAAATAGAATCAACCCAAGAATATCTTCCCCAAGGCATATCATAGCCAGACAGGCTAAGACCACAGATAAAGATAAGATACTAAAACTGGCAAGAAAGAAACGACAAGTGACTTACAAAGGTCACCCCATCAGGCTAATACCGGACTTCTCAACGGAAACAATGCAAGCAAAGAAAGAATGGGAAGATGTATTGAAAGTGTTAAGAGAGAAACAATTTCAACCAAGATTGTTGTATCCTGCTAGATTATCCTTCATATGGGAAAAAAAAGAATAAAATATTCTCAGACAAACAAAACCTGAAAGAATTTGCCAGCACCAGGCCAGCTATCCATGAAATCCTGAAGAAAGTACTGTTCCAGGAAAACTAAAGAAGTAACAGTCAAAAACAAAAAAGAGTAAAAGGCAACTAAGACAATGGCCAACTTAAACGTCGGGACAGATCCAGTAACATCGATTACAACATTGAATGTTAATGGATAAAATTCTCCAATCAAGAGACACAGACTGGCTGAATGGATTAAAAAACAAAAAACCTCTATATGT